CTGGAGATCCAAAACGATRGTCTAAGCTAAAGTTCGGCCCGATACCACAACAGCCCTAAAATATAAGCCTACAGATYAACGCTAACTTTTTTATTCAGGTTTGGTTTTATTCCCGATGGACATTGACCTGTATGCAATTGGGAACCATCTCAGTACAGTGCATACTTAGGAACAATCATTAACACGTAACATTATCTTTGACATAATCGTTAATTGTACTCTATCAGCTAAGAAAGGAGCATGAAGGAGGATTGACGGCCTTTTTTGCCGATCTGCAGTTCCTCCTCTTCTGATGTAATTCAACGAGCGTGATTCACATTGCTTCAGTGTGCGGCAAGATCATATYCCTTATCCCTCATATCCCTTTTGAAATCACCTGTACTTGACTTATAAACACTTTTCTGTCACTTGCGGTACTTAAGTTGGCTGTAGGCTCCCCTTCCTAACTACCAAATGATCAAACGGGGTACTCTTGTTTGATTGGTTACTTGTTAATGGGATTAGGTTTAGCATGCAAGGAGGATTTTTGCCGAATCAARGCAAAAGTGATCTTCCTCACACTTACGGGAAGTGTTGAAGAGTGAAGAAWTCGAACCTCCGAGACAAGGTTAATGGTCATAAAGAGATAAAAGTCTATTTTTAAGCAAAATGAAATATGCTAAGTATTCGTTTACATCTGATGGTGGTAATAAAAGTTTTGTTTGAATATGACAACGATTACACTATGCCAAATGCCGAATATTCAAGTTGAATACTCATGCGTACGGACCCGCGTACGTCAAGTATTCAAAGATATTCAAGAGTATTCAAGTCCGTGTGACGTGACGTCAGTCAAGCGTCACCCTACTTGAATCCAGAAAAAAAATTTCCGAATTCAAKTWGGGTGACGCTTGAATGATTTTAAGTATGAAACTCGAATRCGCTTGAAAACTTAAAATGTTTTTATACAGACAGTATGGTACTATCGATGTAAATGTATATCATTGTAAAAATGTATATCCAATGGGATTTGAACTAACTAAAAGAATTGCTGGATATTGCAGGACCCGTATGCCCTTGAATACGGGACGAATACCCTTGAATACGGGACGAATACCCTTGAATAACGGACGAATACCCTTGAATACGGGACAAATACCCTTGAATACGGGACGAATACCCTTGAACACGGGACGAATACCCTTGAATACGGGACGAATACCCTTGAATACGGGACGAATACCCTTGAATAACGGACGAATACCCTTGAATA